GGTCCTGGGCTTTTTTTCTATTGGGAGTTAACTACAGAGTCAATCACCTTACTAGTAATACATCAGCTATAACTAATACCATGTGTCAGTCTCCTATTTCTTCACGATTCATTCTTGGTAGGTTGTATATTTTTAGGAATTTATCTACTGTATCTAGATTATCCAATTTGTTGGCATTCAGGTTTTTCATAGTATTAATTACTATAATCCTTTTTATTTGTTGAAAAGAATGCCCCCTCTTTCATTTCTGATTTTAATTATTTTATTCTTCTCTTTTTTTCCTAGCTAGTCTAGCCGAAGATTTGTCAATTTTTTAAATCTTTTTGAAGAACGAAGTCTTGATTTTGTTGATTTTCACTATTTTCTTTTTTGTTTCTCTATTTTGTTTATCTCTCCTCCAGTCTTTATTATTTTCCTCCTATGCTGGCTTTGGGTTAGTTTGTTTCTTTTTTTTTTTTCTAGTTGCTTAAAGTACGAAGTTAGGTTGTTTGTTCCTTTTTTTCTAGTTCCTTAAAGTATGAAGTTAGGTTGTTTGTTCATTTGTGTTTTCTAGTTCCTTAAAGTATGAAGTTAGGTTGTTTGTTCCTTTTTTTCTAGTTCCTTAAAGTATGAAGTTAGATTGTTCCTTTTTTTTCTAGTTCCTTAAAGTATGAAGTTAGGTTGTTGATCTGAGATTTTTTTTCTTCATCACGTAAATGCTTACAGCTACAAATTTCCCTCTTCATACTGCTTTCACTGCATCTCACAGTCTTGGCCTGTTGTGTTTCTATTTTCACTTGTGTTAAGATAGTTCTTAATTGCTCTTGTGACACCTCCTTTAACCCATTTGTTGCTTAAGAATTGTTAATTTCGATACATTTCTGGATTTTCCAGTTTTTCTTCTGCTGCTGATTTTTAGTTTTGTTCCATTGTAGTTAGAAAAGACACTTTGTCTGATTCCAATCTTTAAAACTGTGTGAAAGCTTGTTTTGTGGCCTAGCATATGGTCTGGAGAATGTTCCCGATGCACTGGAGAAACATGTGTATCCTGCTGCGGTGGGGGAGTGTTCTGTGGATGTCTGTTAGTCCAGTAGGTCTACAGTGTGGTTCAAGTCCTTCTCCTTTTATCGATCTCTGTGGTTTCCTATCAGTTATTGAATGTGGAGTATTGATTCTCTAGTTACTGTGTTGCTATCTCTCCCTTCAGTTCTGTGAATGTTTCCTTCACATACTCAGGAACACCGATGTTGGCTGCATAAATATTTAGAACTGCTGTAACTTACTGGCAAAGCGAATGACATTGCTTGTTGCCATATGGTTTACATTTTGTAAAATCAAGTAAGTCAAGCCTTACTTTTAAAACTCCTGAGTTTTTGTCTTGTTTAGAAGAGGCCTTACCCACTTCAGTATCAAGGGATGCATGACCCAGTGCTTTCTTTAAGGACATTGATGTTTTTAAAAGTTTTTTATTTATTTATTGAAAAAAATTTTTTTTAAATCTTTATTTATTTCTGAGAGTGAGACAGAGAGAGACAGTGTGAACAGGGGAGAGAGGTAGACACAGAATCCAAAGCAGGCTCCAGGCTCTAAGCTGTCAGCACAGAGCCCGACACGGGGCTCAGACCCACAAAATGTGAGATCATGACCTGAGCCAAAGTTGGACACTTAACGAACTGAGCCACCCAGGTACCCCAGGACATTGATGTTTTTTATGTTTTACTGTGTGATCTAACCAGAGGTCCAAACACCTAGATTGAAGGTGGATTTGTACCTTGAACACTCTGATGAATTTTGATCCCTCACATGAGTGCAGACCCCTTAGCTTCCTCCCTGTTGAGTGATCTGCCTGGCTTGGCCTTGCCTCTTTCTCTCTTTGTCACTCTTCTACTGAAATCTAGACCATTAATTAGGTGTCCTGTCCCACTTCTAGAGAGGCCCATCTCCTGTCATTTCTGGCTTTCCATCTCTGTTATTAAATTGTGGGTCTCAAGGGCATCTGGGTGGCTCAGTTGGTTAAGCATCCGACTCTTGATTTTGGCTCAGGTCATGATCTCATGGTCATGAGATGGAGCCCCATGTCGGGTTCCATGCTGAGTATGGAGTCTTCTTGGGATTCTCTCTCTCTCTCCCTCTCTGTCTCCGTCTGTCCCTCTTTCCTGTTCATGCTTTCTATCTCTCTCAAATAAAAATGAAATAATAAATTATGGGTTTCAACCAACATTTAATCTTGCCTAGCATAGTGCCTGGACAGTGTGCATACCCAGTGCATATGAATTAAGTGGATATACAAACACTTTCTAAGACTGGATTCTACACATGTAAACAGAAGCCCCAAGACAAGAAGATTAGGGATGGGCTCATCACACTCACTCTTGGGCCAGGTCCACCATTCTTTTATGTCATCTAGAGAGGGGGCCTGGCCTGAAAGAGGGGCTGAACCCAGAGAGGCAGTTATTTTTGCATGGGGTTCACCATCTTTCCTATGAAGAGAGGAATGTTGGTGTTCTTATCCTCAATGATGACTAAGAAGGGCCTGTTGAACTTGATGGACAGGTGCTTAGAACAGGTGCTCTCTTCTGAAGGAGTGACTCCAGAATATTCTGTCATGTTCTCACCAATGCTCAGCACAGCCTTATAAATTTTGGCCTGGAGAGGAGAGACACAGGGGCCTATTTGAGACAGAGATAGGCTATACCTTCCCCCACCCAGAGTTGGGAACATGGCCCATGTGATGGGTTGAGGGCTGTCTTGGGGACTCAAGAAAGGGATTTTAACCACAGGCTCATTAAGGATCTGGGTCTTTCTAGCATTTCCTTGAAATGAAAACTAAAACAATGAAAGATAGGCAGTATTGCTGGCTGGGTGTCTACCATTTGAGCATTTTACTGAAGGCCCACAAAACTCACAACTGAATTATCAAGGTATAGTGGAAAAGATACGAATTTCCATCGTGAGGATCTGGGTTCAATCCCATTTTTCCCGCTGACACCTCAGGGAAATGTCTGCTCTTCTTTAAACCTTGGTTTCCTAACTGGGACAATCAGAGCTATGCAATATGATCTCCCGGGGCCACAGAGGTACTTCACGTTAAGAGTTTCACTCAGCTTAGGTGCTCATTAAATGTGTGTGTGTGTATGTGTGTGTGTGAAAGGTGTGCATGTGTGTGTGTGGATGGAGACTAATAAGTGAAAGGTCTTTATCTGGTAATTATGGGCCCCATCAACTGCTCGTACTTACTTACCAACCATCTCGAAAACAGGACTCCTTGATTCTTTTCTCCCCAGGGCCTGGCCCCTTCTCTGGGCCTAATGTCATACTCAGGCCTCAGCTTCTCCCATCACCTAGAAGGTCTGTGACCTCATGCCCTGAAGGCAACACATAGGCCTTCACCGCCTTCTCCTGACCTCACTGGTGAGCCTTCACTTCTCCTTCTCAGCCTCTCTGGGGAGTGGCCCCCAACCCCAGCAGGTAGACTCTCTTGCACTTCATCTTCCGTGGCTACTGCCTTGTTTCTAGTATCAGGTGTAAGCTCCCTGGGGTCCAGGACTCTGATGGGGACCTTCACTGTATCTGTTCAACACCCGGCACTGGGTTCCCAGCCAGCCGTTGGGCAGAGGTTGTGTCTTTAGTCACCTTTCACTTTCTTGAATAAATGGCATCTTTAGGCAAAATCACTCGTTAACTCAGACTCAGCGATTAGCCAATAGCTCCCAGTGTCCCAGAGGCAGGGGACAAAAGTCCTCTGAAATCCCTGAGCCCAAGGCACTTCTCTCAGAGCCTCAGGTAGGCCATCTGCAAATGGGGTCTAAAAGGACATCGCCGGGTTACTGAAGGGCTTTGTGGGGCTAAACTGAGGCTAGAGGAGGTTCCAGAATTTGTGAATCGCAGAGGCAAAGTGGAGCCAGCTGGGGTGCACAGAGCAAGCATTTTCACCCGGATTTTATTTTCGGGGATGGCCCGAAGATGATTAATGACTATTATTAGGTGTATTTAGAAGCTTCCCAAGTTGTACTCGGCACCTCCCTGTCCGAGTCTCCCTGTCCCCTGTGAACAGGAGGCTCTTATCATTCAGGAAATCACTCTCGCCCCCACCCCCAGCCTTTCCCTGGACCACCTTGCGGAATGCAGATGACTGGGCAGCTCCTTTCTGCTACGCCGAGAGTGACACTGTCCAGACAAGCCCTGGGGACCCTTGTGCCTCAATTTCCAACTGGACAGGGATGAAGACTGAGGCAGGAGATGGGCCAGGCTGCTGGAAGTCCCCCAGCAGAGCTGAGATCTAAGACCTGCCAGCTCTGGCCCTGGGCCCTCCATCACCCTCTTGTCTCCAGAGCGAGGAGCCCGCAGGGGGCTCTTACCTCCCTGCCCCAGGACATTTCCACTGCCTTGGAGTGCTCTCTGGGGCCCGCAGGCCCCCTCATGTTGCCATCCCTCAGGGAAGAGGCCAGGCTGAGGTTCAACTTCAGTTGAGCACCTGCCGTGTGAGCACACAGTCCCATGTTCTCGGTAACTTGTTCAATCCTCACAGAAACCCGCCGACAAGGGTATGATTATGTGCCCGTTACAGAGAGGAAACTAGAACCTCAAAGAGGTACAGTGACTTGCTTAGAGTCAAACAGCTAATAATCAACAGAGGAAGGATTTGCACCCTGGTGTTTCTGACTCCAGAGTTGTCCCTCCCTCCGCTGCACTGGAGATGATGGAAGTGTGTTCCAAGAACCCCCATTCCCTTCATCCACTCTGTTAAACCTGCCTATTTTACCTCCTTCCCTGCTGGGGATTGAAATGTACAGTGAGACATTAAAGGCTCTGATAAGTCCTGCAGAGAAGATGATGATTTGACTGTCCCACCCATTAATGGCTCCCTGACCTTAGTTGATGGTGGAAATTGAATAACACAGGCAGAGACGCACTGACCTAGTCGCCCCGCCCTGCCATGGAATGTTTAAGAACTGCATGTTTCAGAATATTTTCGGGTGCGTGTTCGTGGGAGTCAGCTCAGGTGGCGGTCACAGCCTTACCTTTAAAGAAAATGTAATTCACCAGAGCAAAAACTGTGTCTTTGTCAAGGTCTTGGACCAAATCCACAATTTTCCCCTGGGTTCCCTTCTCCACGTAATTGTTGATCTGTCTCTTGGCCTCTTCGTTGTGTCCGAAGTTGATGGAGAAGGCTTCCGAGTGGTACAGGTTCTTGATGTCCTGCAGAAACTTGTCCAGAAGCTTCACGCTCTCGTTGATGAAGAGCCCGCTGCCGGTGGTCAGCTGCAGCTGGCTGTCTGGCTGGTTGAGGGTGCGGAGGAGCTGCTGGAAGCCCTGGTGAACCTCGCTCTCCGCTCTCTCGGTGAGGTTGAAGCCGAGGCCCTCCAGGATCTGGTCATGCGTGTTACCCTTGGCCCCCAGAGACAGCATCGCAAAGGCCGTAGCGATGCTTACAGGGGAGAAGAAGATGTTGGTGGTGTTGGATTCGTGGGCGACCTGGCGGTACATGCCGAAGGCGAAGTCAGCCAGGTTCGGGGCGATCTTGTGGCAGGCGGGCACCTCGTGGTGGGCATGGTCGTGCTCGGGTGCGTGTGTGTCCTGGGCTGCGTCTCCATCAGCCAGGGAGCGGGGGGCCAGGCAGCACAGGCCCACCAGCAGGAGGGCGCCCCACGCAGTGGACGATGGCATCGTCCTGCAGGCAGAGAAGGGGCCCCACGCCCACGTCAGGCCACACGGCGAGTCCCTGGCCACCCACTGACACCACGTAAAGCATGCCCAGTGCCCAGTGCCGAGCACGTTCCTACGTCCTCATCATGGAGAACAGAACAGCGGCAGAGACTGACAGTGCTCCCCACACCCCAGCCCATGTAAGCCCCGTGCGGCCTCAACTCCTGGGCCTCTTGTGATGACCTGTGACCCAGGGCATCTGACATTTGTCTATTTACAGATGAGGAGACGAAGGCCAGAGAGGCCAAGTCCCCTGCCCCAGGCCACAGAGCAGAGCACGGAATCACAGAGCCGGGCAGTCTGGCTCTGGAGTCCATGCTCTTGACAGCAGCGCTGACATCTACGATGGCTCCGTGTGCAAGTGCCATGGCCCCTGTTTTACATCAGAGGAAACCGAGGCACAGCAAGCATAATGTACGTGTGTGCACTTACCCAGGAAGCAGGTCGGATCAAGTGCAGGGATGCCTCGATTGGGAATAGTCCCCAGTTGGTCTCCATTGACATGTGGCTGCTGCCCAGAGAGGGTAAGATCTTGCCCAAGGACACACAGCCAGAAACCCCTCCTGCCTGACTGTGGCCCAGACTCTCCCTGACTCCATACACTTCCACCTCCCTTCTCTCATAACTGTGACAGCTCTCACGGAATAGGCCATCTGAGCACTCACTTGATTATCATCTGACCCTCCGACATTCCAGGCCTGGTGGATACTGCTCATGAAAGCACTGAGGCACTCAGTCAACCCTGAAGGCACTCGCAGACATTGACTTTTATTTCAGTGGCCTGAGACTTGGAGAGCAATTCCGGAACATGCTCAAGGCTACAAAGCTGTTTGGGCCAAGCTGGCCCCGGGCAGGTCTCCACGCGTCTGGGCTGGTGCTCCATGCATGGCGTGTTCGCCCAGAAACTTTCTCCCTGAAGCGGGAACTTGGCTGCGTCTGAGGGCTAAGCACACAGGGCGTCAGGGGGCTCAAGCTCGGAACCGTGGACATTCTTGGCTGGAACATTCTATGCTGCGGGGGGTCGTCCTGTACATTGTAGGATGTTTAGATGCATCCTAGACCAAACCTGATGCCCGTGGCAACCTCCCACCGCCAAGGATGACAATCAGACATCCCCCAGAGATTGCCCAGGGTCCCCTGGGGTCAGAGTGCCCTTGGGCAAGGGGGAGGAGGGCTTCAGAGCACGTGACCCACTTGGGAGGCCTCTCTTTCCTTAGTTGGACAGACTTCTGATTTTGGAGCAGGTTTGAGTTGGGGAGTCCCAACTTGCTCATTGGGGCCAAAGTGTTCACTGGACCCATTTGGTTTGGGGTGTCCATGTTTCTTGGGTAGGGGTCCAGGATTCTGCTGTGACATGTCACGTCAGGCCTTTGGGAGACCATAGCAAATCTCTTCATCTGTCACCTTGGAAACTCAGCTGCCCCCATGGTCCTTCTGTCATTGGGGCTTAATGACAGAACTCCTCCGAGTGTGGGCACTGCGTCCACTACACAGTCACCCACAGCAGCAGCTCCTAGAAGCTTTTCTCTCTCCCCCTCTCTCTCTTCCTTCCTTCCTTCCTCCCTCCCTCCCTCCCTCCCTCCCTCCCTCCCTCCCTCCCTCCCTCCCTCCCTTCCTTCCTTCCTTCCTTCCTTCCTTTCATCTTGAGAGATAAAGCACAAGCAGAGGAGGGACAGAGAGAGAGAGAGAGAGAGACTCAAGTAGCACAAAAATTTTTAGTCTCTCTGAGTGTACTATTTAAAATGAGATTGTTGGAGAAGCAAGTAAAGCCAGGCTAGTCATCAAAACTCGGGACCATTGCTTATATACAACATTTTCCCCTCTACCCCGTGCCCCCATCAACCCTCAGTTTGTTCTCTGTATTTAAGAGTCCCTTATGGTTTGCTTCCCTCTCTTTTTGAAAGTATTTTTCCCCTTCCTTTCTCCCATGTTAAGTTTCTCAAGATCCACATATGAGTGAAAACATATACTTGTCTTTCTCAGCCTGACTTATTTCATTCAGCATAATACCCTCCACTTCCATCCAGGTTGCTGCAAATGGCCAGGTTTCATTTTTTCTCATTGCCAAGTAGTATTCCATTGTGTATATAAATCACATCTTCTTCATCCATTCTTCAGTTGATGGACATTTGGGCTCTTTTAATAATTTGGCTGTTGTTGAAAGCGCTGCTATAAACATTGGGATGATTCACAGGAATCTATCCCCAACACAAGAGCACACAGCATACACTGTATATCAGCTAACTTGACCATAAAATATATTTAAAAAAGATTAAAGAATTAATCAAAATTTCAAATATGCATAATGAAGTCACTTTAAAAATCTATCTTAAAAAATAATCAAATATCACATATATGCACAAAATTTCAGTATATACATGTTTATCATGGCATTATTTATAATAGGTAAATTAGAAATTTCCAGATATATAAAACTTGTTAAATGGATTATAGTACCATACGTAATGGACTAAAATGTAAGTTTTTTAAAACCATACATTAAAAAATAGTGAAAAATATAGGAGATCTTTGTGATATATTCATACATGAAACAACAAATTCAAAAAGGAAAAAAATCCCTCAGGACCAGATGAAACCCGAGAGATAACTGTTTGCGGGAAGAGGGTGGTGGGTTTTGCAAACACAAGCTTTTACAAGCAGTAAGGGGCCAATGAGTGGAAGAAGGGGTCGTGAACCCAGATAAGAAAGGGGAGGAGGTGACGGACCCCAGGGCAGGGCTATCTGAGGAGTTAATGAATACACCTCAGCCTTTCAGAGGAGGACCTCCAAGCACAAGACCAAGGCCAGGGTCCACCGTGCAGGGGGCAGGGGAGGGGGGCAGGAAGCAGGGAGGCCATGGGCCATCCTTTGGAAATCTGGTGAGCAGGCCACCGGCGGGGGCGGGGGGGTGGGGGGGGGGAAGCTAAACGGCCATGTGCTTCCTCCAGTGAGATAATTAAGTGGGCGGCGTGGGGTGTGCAGGGCAAGGCCAAGGACTCTGGCTATGGCGGGAGTTGAGAAGGAACCGGGTAAGAGAAGGGCCTGAAACGTGTTAGAGAAGCCTGTTGGAGAACACGGAAGGGGGCCCTCCGAGAGGACTTGCCCCTGCTGCCTGCAGGTGGGAGAGACACAGGTGAAGACCATCAGGGCGACAGGGTCCTTTCCAAGCCTGGGAAGTGGGGGAGGAGGGCAAAGCAACCCCCAAGCAGCACCCCCCCTCCCATGCATGATGCACCATGATGCATCATCAAAGCAGGCCTACTATGCGCTGGGAGGGTTTGAAGGGCATGATTCCAGCTTCCCCACTGGCTGGGCTGAGCAGAACAGCAAAGGGCCTGCTGCCACCTGCAACTCCTGACCCTGGCAAGTGGGAGCCGAACTTGTCTGTGCCTCAGTTTCCCCCTCTGCTAAGTGGAGATAATAATCCTGGAACAGTGGCCCAGCCTCGCAGACCAGTGTCCGCTCAGGAGGAGGCTGATGGAAAATTACTCACTCAGCAGGATGCGCTGACTCCCCAGAGAGGCTGGGTGGGCGGGACGCGCACCTGCGGGGCCTCGTCTCCAGATAGGGCAGTGTTGGGGGGCTGGGACCCTCAGTCCTACGGGCCCACAGCCACCCCCGCGGCTGGAAAGGAGGCTGGGAGCCTCCAGAGTGCGGCAGGTGAGTGCCTGATGCCATCAGAGGGCCTTGCTGTCCTCTGGAGTGGCCTTGTCCAGCGAAGCCAGCAGGCACGGGGCCATCTGAAGGGTGGGCGATGGGGGCCCCAAGGCCACGCACAGCCAAGAGTTCATTTTGCCTTGAAACTGTCTGCACAGAGCTGTCGAGGGGAGAAAGTGGATTAGAACTCCCGTAGAGCCTAGACTGGTGCCTGAGACATGGTTGACTGCCGGGAGCCGCACCGGCCTCTCTGGATGGCAGTCACAGCAAGGAAATGGCAATATTTGCACAGCTTCTGCCATGAGAAACGAAAACTGGTATCTCTTCCTGCTACTACTGGCTCATGTTGGAAATATCTATATACAACTTAACCTATATGTTATCCTGTTTTCCACTAAGAACATTCTGTTATAAGTTCACTATGACTGGAATAATTCGGCAATTGTCATCGCAAAAGACCTTCCGTTGTAAAGAAATTCCTTTCTTTGACCTCATATTGTGGTTGAACCTTTAAATAAAGACACCAAAACCGACAGGACAGAGATGCCTGCCTGGTGATCAGGAAGAATCTCGGGGCTCTCTCATTCTCTCTCTTGCCAACACCGTCCATCCTTCCGGGACCCCTGGATGTGCTGGAGCTGCCCTCCGACAGTTGACCTGTAGGAAACATCAGCTGCCGGGAATCACTGGGCTTGTTACCATCAAGGTCTCAGCCCTTGGAATCTTCACACTGGGAGCTGGGATCATGTCCTCTGAACTCCAAAGTCCATTTGTCCAGGCACAGAAAGGAGCTAGCAGGTGCCTGCCAAGCGCCCAGGCTCAGGGGAATTGTGGGAAAGAACGAGATCGCGCTGCCCTGAGATAGTTAGCACCTTGCAGAGTATCAAGACCCAAGGGCCCTTAGTGCTCCCATTTTCCTGATGAGAAAAGCAAGGCTCACAGAGAGGCGCTGACCTCCCCAGCTCTCAGGGAGCACATTGGTTCACGGTAGAGCTGTGGCAAGATCCCATCTGACTCCCAAGTCTAGGTCCTTGGTAACAAAGCATGCAAGTATGTGTAATTCATCCCTTTGTTGCTTTTCTGCCAGCGAATCACAAGACAGGGGAAGCCAGCCTCCTATGCCGCTTTTTCAGAATCTGTGGTCTGATGTGTAATATTTGGCAAGAGCCAGCACCACAGACAAAGACGCTGTGTGCCATCAGTCACAGAAGAAACTTTTGAATGAGTTCGATCTCATTGTCCCCATTTTGCAGGGACGGGAACTGAGGCCCGCTTGGATGGAGGTGCCATCGAAGGCCCTGCTCATGGTGCCCTGCTAGTTAGAAGGCTGACTCGGGATTACAGAATTCTGTGTGCCTTTCACCCTGCCCTGGACATTTTCATCCTAGCGTTTTGATGCTGAAAGTCACATCCGAGCTACAGGACTCAGGAAATATTTCAAGACTAGTCTAGACTTCGGCTCAGGTCATGATCTCACGGTTTGTGGGTTTGGGCCCCACGTCAGGCTCTGTGCTGACAGCTAGCTCAGAGCCTGTTTCAGATT